GTTACCACATTTAATAATAAAAAACAATAATTTTTTTTTTTAATCACAAAGCAAAGCAACCAAAAGCACAAGCCAAAAAATAAGGTACTGAGATAAAGCCCCTGCCAGGACATTGGTCTAGAGCCCTTGGGCAAGGTGAGGTGGTAACGAGCCTGACCACAGTGGCCTGTAGGCACTGCTGCAACTCAGCCATCACAGCAGACAAACAAGGGCACCAATGTGCATCTGGTTACATGCTGGGCTGGCCCTTCAGAATGGGGGAAATTTAGAATTCCTGGGTAAGGAGGGGGAACCTATGGCCACAGATCTCCCCAAATGACTTTTCCCTTGAGGGATCTGAGAGATCATTTTCAAAACGTGTGGGCCTAGGAATGATTCAACAGGTCCAAGAAGATTCCCACCTCCCCTCCACCTCTGCTTAGAATACATTCTTCATTCTCCACGGCCACTTGCTAGTCTGGGAAGCCTTTGCTGATTCATTTTACATCTCTGGGTCTCAGTTTCTTCCTTCTGTAAAATGGATAGAACCTGGCCATGAAGTATAGTGAAGAAACAGCCCTAGATCGAAGGTTTGCTGGCACGAATTATCATACCCCAGGACTGCTGTGTGTTCTGCCCTCTTTGGGCTTCAGATTCCCCATGTGTCGAATGAGGGAGTATGGCAGAACCATCTCCAAGGACTGAAACCTCTCCTCAGGTGCAAATGAAGTGACCCCCTGTCTTTTCCCAAGGAAGGCAAGTTTAGCCAGGAAGTCAGAGAGGAGGAACCAAGGGATGGGAAGAGGGAACTTCACCAATGTCATAGCTTTGCCTTGACCTGGACTAGCTAGAAGTTTCCTCTCTGAACTCCCATTAAATGCCTGGCTGACTCTTGGACAGTTCGGGTTGGTAGAAGCAGAGTGGAAGGAGCTGTGTACCACTTCTTCTCTCTTATAAATAGAGCTCTGAATCCCAGAGGGTGACCAACACCAGACCACAACTAGGAACCAGTTCCCAGAGTTTGTCCAAGCTGTTCAGAGGTCTGCCACTTGTCTCCCCCTCACCACCAAGTTGGGGGCGGTTAAGTCCACTTTTCACTCCAAGTCAGAGATAAACTCAATTTTCAGATGACGAAAACCAAGGTCTTCCTAGGGATCCCACAGACCATTCATTTGGGCACATAAGTACACCCAAGTCTGAGCTTACAACCTGTCAGTGTCACCTCATTGAGGTCTCACACAAACCTATAAGGAACATACAATTATTCAACCGATTGACAGAAGAACTATCAGAGAGGTTGAATGACTTGAGCGAGGTCAAGAAGCTAGTGAGTAGCAGGGCCAAGATCTAAAACCAAGTCTGTCTGACTCCAGTTCTGTTATTTATGCTTCCTTCCTGGGGTTGGTGGAGAAAGGGGAGTGATCTTGAACTTTAGGAGCCAGGAGCCTGAGAGATTAATTCTGCCAGCAAGGGTTGGAGAGGAGGAGCCAGGGCCTTTGAACCTGCCATTTGCTTTATCTAAAAGGCCTTCCCCTAGGTAATTGCCTTGCTCACTGCCACCCTTCATTCAGGTCTTAGCTCAAAGAGCACTTTTCCATGGACCACTGAGTCTAAAATAAAACAACCTCTCCTGCTCCCTTTTCCCTAACCCTCTATTTTTCTTGCTAAACCTATGGCCATCTGAAGCATTGTCTCATCTGGTGTATTTATTTGTTTATTGTTGGTCTCCTCTTAGAATGTAAGGTTTTATGTCTTATGCATCACAATAATCAGAGGCCTAACACAGTGCCTGGCACACAGTTAGATGTGCAACCAATGTTTATAGACAGAAGGCAAGAACGTCTAAATGTCTTTTTTCCCTAGTATATGAAAGTAGCCATGGAGGAGAGGGCTGACCCAAGCACATCTCATTTCATCTGTAGCTGTTATTAACCAATTTCACAGATGGAGGAACTGAGGGTCCCCTAGCATCAAGAGCCCATGGATGGTGAGTGACAGATTAATCCCTCCGTTAGGGCTGGGGCACTCGATCCCATAGCAGTGTGGCTCCAAGCCCAGTGCGCCTTCTAAGAGCAGGAGCAGGGCCCAGAAAGGGGAAGGGGTGCCGAAGGCCCACAGAACCCTCGCAGCGCATGCTCTGTCCACGGCCGCACCCTGGGCTGCGCCAGGCCCAAACGCCTTGCGCCCCGCCCTGCGCCCGGCGCCTCCTCGCGGTCCCACCCGCCGAGCACGGCCCCTGCGGCCACGGCTCCTGCCCCCGCAGGGCCGGCCGCGTGGTAATGACCGACGAACCGGCCACGGGTCGCTCGTGACCCCCAGACTCCGGGCGCCCGCAGGCCTCGCGGGTCAGCGGGAACCGGCAATTTCCCGGCTGCCCGGCCCGCGCCCGCTCTGTACTTAGCCTGATGACGGGTTCCCGCGGCCCTAATGACGGGCGGCGGGCGAAGCCGGCCCAGCCGGTCCCGTGCTCGGCTCTCAGGCGGCCGCCGGGCCTGTGTCATCCACCAGGAATTTCTGTTTTCCCCTCCGCGGGGCTGGAAGAAAAAACAATAATTAGGTCACTGGGCAGGCGGCAGAGAGGGTGTGGGACAGCCCAGTGGCGCCCTGTTGGGCAGGGAAAGGGTCTGGAAGGATGATGGGGAGGAGAGGCCCCCGCAGTGCTCCTTGTCCCCTTCCTGCCCTCCCCACCATGCCAGCTGATGAAAACAAAGGCAGCCTTGACCCTGCCCGCCGTTAAGTCATGGGTTCATTCATCCCAAGCACTTATCGGGCACCTCTTATGTGCCAAATTCTGTGCGAGGCTCTGGGGACTGAGCATTGAACAAAAGAGAAGGAAGCACTTGGTAGAAAAGACCTGACAAGCAGCTGATATACAGTGGGAAGACCATTGCATGGGACACAGGAATTTCAGGGGACTGCTTGCCCAGAGAAGGGGTGAGGAGGAGTTAGGGAAGGCTTCCTCAAGGAAATGACACCTGCCCAGAGGCCTGAAAGAGGAATGAAGATTGACCAGGCCACGTGGAGGAGGCAGGAAGTATATGGGGTATGGAAGGAGCAGCATGTGCAACGGCTTGGAAGTAAGGGGACCACGCATATTACAAGAACTGAGAGTAGAGAAGCATCAAGTGAACTTTTAATTCTGAATGTAACGCCACTGATTAAAGACATATTTTTGATCCCATGAATCCCCTAAACACAAACCAGCTACTTTATCTGGTGCTCAACTGAAAATACAGCCACCTGTTTCTACACTGGAGAAACGCTGTTATGGACTTACTGAGAGGTCCTAGGTCTGAATACTGTACCTAACTAGCAGTTTAAGGGATTTTCAAGGGCCATTTGTACTTAGCATATTTCTCACCTTTCACTCTGACCTTGGGACAACTCCCTGGGAAAGACAGGAAGCTGGAGCAACTGTATCTGGCTGCAGTGCTCAAAGTATGAGCTATAAGACTAGGGGGGTGAGCAGGTTTGGAACATAAAGGGTCTTATGAGTCCCCACAGGGAGTTTAGACTTTATCTTAAGAGAAATAGCAATGGCTTAAAGCTCCTATTATGTGCAAACACAGAGCTAAGTGTTTTACATACAACATCTCACTAAGCTTGGTGACAATCTAGTGAGAATGTTTTTTAGTTCCATTTTATACAAATGGCCAGGGGGGTTATTTGCCCCAGGTCACCTGCTAATAAGGCCTAATAATAAACAGAACTGAAAAGTGCTAGACTCTATCCTGGGACCTGTAGTGAGAAAGAGGGCAGCTCTATCCCTACTCTCGAAGAGCTTGTTGCCTGCTGGGGGACATGCATGTGTGATATATTGGTCAGAGCCATGTCAAACTAGAGTTTATTTCTCTCCCCTCCGACAACCCAGAGGTAGATTGCTCAGGACTGGAACGGTGATCCCACTCCACAATGTAGTCCAGGCACCCAGGCTCCTTCCCCCTGTTGCTCTGCCATCTCAGTATGTCCAGGTTGGCACACCTCCACGTCCTCATTCTGGAAGAGGAAAGGGGAGTGAGGGAGCGTGTGTGTTCTCCGTAGGGAACATCACTTCTACATCTTCATCTATATCTGTATCTGCAGCTCTCTCTGTATCTGTAGCCGAATTTACATCCACGTATGAGTCTATGCCTATATCGATAGATCCGCCAATCACCCAGTACCCAAAGCATCAACTTTAAAGATAGAAGCTTTAGTGCCAAAAGGTAAAATACAACGATGGATGAAACCAGTCCCTGTTGGCAAAGCCTGGAAACAGAAAACATTACAGCAGAGATAATCATTTCACTTCCTATTAGCATCCTATTGGTAGTTTTCTTAACAAAAATATTCCTGCATATAATACTTGATTTACCTGAACAAAATAAAATACTTTAAGTATGATTATGATAAAAAAGAAATTAAGTTTTTTCAAAAACTGTTTCCTTGTAAAATTGAAGTGTGTCAATTTATATCTGTGGTTTTTATGGGTCAGCAAATATGGGAGCTGCTGGGCAAATAGTTGCAAAGATGAACAAGACAGGGCAGTGTCCTCCATGGTTCTTTCAACCATGCCTCACTCCCTCAAAGGAGACTATGCCTACACAGGCACTTGGGGACACTAAATTGCCCCCAGTTCATGCTTTGGGGACCATCAGGAGAGTGATGGTAGTCTAGAGCATGGATTCTCAAAGTGTGGTCCTCTACCAGTCACCTCAGCAACACCTGAAAATATGTGAAATGCAAATTCTCAGGCCCCACCCAGGCCTACAAAATCAGAAACTCTGAGGGTGGGGCCCAGCTACCTGTGTTTTCATAAGCCCTCCAAATGACTCTGATATAAGCTGAAGTTTGAGGAGCACTGGTCTAGAGCCCTGCACACTGAGCTAAGAGTCAGAAAACCTTGGGTTCTAATCCTGAATCTGGTAGTCCCAGGCTCTGTGACCTTGGACAAGTCAGGCCCCTCCCTGGGCCTCTGAGTGTTTAGGTATAAACTAGCAGGGTTGGCTCTAGGAGTTTGAGGGGAGCCTCACTGGCTCAGACAGTCCATGATCTCCCCACCTGATTGCTGGGAGTGGGGCCTGGCCCTTGAAGCAGGAAATGGTGCCTTCTTTGGAGGGAGATACTCTCATACCAATGGATTCTGGTGACAAGAATGTGGGAAGGGCAGTCACATCGGACTCCCTTGAGTGTCCTGGCCTGGGGTGAGGCCCCAGCAATCCTGCCCATACATGGGCTTTCTCAGTCTGAGAAGAAGGATGAGAGTTCTCTGTGCACATCTGGGCCAGCCACACATCTGGATCTGGTGAGTGCTCTGTGAGGTTATGTCACCAATTTTTCTGCCTGGGCCCAAGCCCCAAAAAGCTGTCAGTCCCAGGTTCCAGCTAGAAGTGGAAACTGCTCAACCTCTGAGCTCAACTGGGGATGGATCTGCATCCAGGCTCACTCACATGCTCGTTGCCAGGATTTGGTACCTCACATGTACTGGACTGCATATTTCAGTACCCCAGTAGCCTTGCTGGCCTTACTGGCTATTGGCCAGAGGCCTCCCTCAGCTCCTTGCCACATGGGCCTCTCTATTGGGCAGCTCACAACATGGCTGCTTGGCTTCACTCAAAGAGAGCAAAAGGGTACCTAAGATGAAAGCCAGAGTCTTTTTGTACCTTAATATGAGAAGTGACATTCCATCACTTTTAACAGATGCTGCATTACGTTTGTTAGAAGTGGTCACTATGTCCAGCCCACACTGACAAGAGGGGATTACACAAGGACATTAATACCAGGAGGCAGGAATGGGGGTTGAATGTAGGGGTATGCGGGGAGGGTTATCTCAGAAGCTCCCTACCACACCTGCAAAGCCTAGTTCCAAGCAGAGCCCTAAGATGGAAGGAGCTCTAAATGGAGGAAGATTCTGGGAGAGGCAAGAAAAATGTGTTGCCTTATGGAGAATCTCCTAAGATAGGGTCCCCAGAGCCTGCCCCCCCTGATTTTTATCTTTACCGCAGGGCCTGTCTGATGGTGGGGGGTTATTTGCAGCTAGCAAGAGCTGCATTCCAGGGCTGGGTACTTAACATTCCAGAGGAGCTCTCAGCTAATTATTGCCTTGCCTGGCCCAGGCCTGGACCACCCTGATCCCCTGAGCTCCCATGCTTTGGCCAGAGGATTCTCGTGGTTTCGTTCCTGGGTCATATGAAAAGGCCCAGGTCACACAGCAAGGGGTTGGTCGCATTGTAGGAGCTGGAGTCCAAGTCCTTTTACCCACCGCTGTGGTCAAGGGACAGATGTAGCGGAAGCCTTGGAGCTGAGCCTCCTGGAGGTGAGGTGGACTAAAGCGGACCTCAGCAAATGGCTGCTTCTCTGACCCTCCATTTCCTCACCTGCAAAAAGGGGAACTTTCCCAACATCTTATAACATGTGACAAAGATTCTCTCTTTGATCAAACTTCAGACAGGCTCCCCTGAGCCCATTTTTCAACGAGACCTAGTCTTTGGGCCTTGTCTTGGGCCTGCATAGCCCAGTTTTAGCAAGAATCCTGTCAGTTTAGTGAGAATCCCCACACCTTGATATCTTATCGCTCTGGCCTGCCTTCAGCAAGAATCCTGTTAAGGTGGTTTAGTAAGAATCCCCCTTACCCTTGATGTTACCTCTTAGTAATTTTCCATCCACTGACCCCCTCCTTCTGCTCGTTGGCTATAAAGGCCCCAACTGTCTTTGCTGTATCCAGAGCCCAATCTCTCCCCACTGTTGTGATAATCTTGACATCTATCGCAATAGTCCTGAATTAAGTCTTCCTTATATACTGTTCTAACAAGTGTCAGGATAATTTTTTCTTTAACTTATGCATCCTATTACATATATTTCAGTCCCTTCACTGTGCAAAGGAATCCCAGGAGGCACAATATTGCCACTGCTCTTTGGGTGGTGAAAGGGGAGTGAGTGTAGGCTTGGGATGGGCAGCCCTTTGTCCCAACACCAGGAACAAGCAAAGGACTTGGACTGCAGGCAGCCTTGGGCCTGAGAAAGTCCAGCGGGGCCAGAATTCTCAAGACGCCCTTCCAGTCTACTCCTGCTCTCACAGTTGGGCCTGCTCAGCTCTAAGACCTTTAGAGCAAGCACAAAGGGCCAAGGGAGCAAGATGGCATGAGAGAGGCCCTCTGACACATGTCAGGGGAACAGTGGGGCAGAGGCAGGAATTGTATAGGGCCTTGAAAGCTGAGTAGCACTGAGCACATGAAAATGGAGGCAGGGAATTTCCAGTGAAGGCACAAGCCTGGCAGAGGCTTGGTGGCATGAGGAGATGCAGGGCCCAAAGGATGGGATAGCACATAAATGGGAGATGCTTGTGGTGCTGAGGATCGTGCGAGGCTGCTGCATCCCTCTACTGCCTGGGGCTCAGTGTCAGGGTCCTGCAGCAAGAGCCACAGGCAGGATCCCAGGCTTTCCTCCACCCAGGGGTGATGCTCACCTGCTTCTTCCCTTTCCTAAGCACCCAATTCCTGGGTTTCCCACAACCTCCCTCAAAGAATAGGACTCTATTATAAATATAAATTGTGTAACTTGTTAAAATAGGTTCACATACACATAGCACGAGCTCAAAAATTCTCCCTCCTTTCCCATTCCCCTAGCCCCCGCCTCCCATCCTCTCCCTCTGAGGGAACTTTTGCTGGTTCAAGTACACATGCTTTTTCTTCTTACACAAATAGTAGCTGACTGCATTTACAGTAGTGCATCTTGCTTCTTTCACTTATTGTTATATCTTGGATTATTCCATACCAACCCATGTCATTTTTTTGATACTTGCGTAATATTCTATTACACGAATATAACAACATGTATTTAGTCTCCAAAATGGCAACACTTTCGTATTGCCACCTAAACTTCTGTCAATAAGCATATGTAAAATGTCTACTACAGCTCAGGCATGCAGTACGACCTAGAGATACAAGGGTGGTTGTGACCTGGTCTGTGCGAATGGGAGCTTCCAGGTTCACGGAGGCAACAGACTGACTAGTGCATTGCAGAGTGGAATAAGGGTTACGGATTCCAGGAAAGGATGCTTCTTCCATGGGCTTGAAGAGAGGTAGGTCTTTGAGCACTGAAGTGGGCTTTCTTAGAAGGGTATGTTGCATTAGTGACAGGAAAGGGAAGGATGGCATTCTAGGCCAAGGGAACTGTGGAGGACGGGGACAATCTACATGTGTTGTGTAATGAATGAGGGTCCAGGGCATGTGGACAGAGGTAGAGATGAGGCTGTTTGGAGCATGAGTCTATGGAAGTCTTGAATTTCAGGGAGATGGCTGTGGCCTGATTCCTCCTTTTCTCCCAGAGCCTTCCCCGAGTCCACCTCCTGTGGGATAGGGGGCTCAAGAGATGGGTTGGAAGGAAAACGGGTCCTCTAGGGAGGAGGCAGGGAAGAGGCAGCTCTAGGCCAGAAGGAGTAGTGGCTTGTGATTATTTAGGTCTGCCCTGTGCTGGATACTTAATTTAATTTAATTTTTGTTACATTTATTTTACCTCTGAACCATTGGAAAGTTAGTTGTAGACATCATGGCATTTTCCCCTCAGTATTTCAGCAACTCTCTTTTTAAAATGAGGATACTGTCTATGGCCATGCTACCCTGAACAAGTCTAATCCTGTCTGATCTTGGAAGCTAAGCAGGGTCAGGCCTGGTTAGTACTTGGATGGAAGACCACCTAGGAAGACCAGGTGCTATAGGAGTAAAAAATTAAAAAATAAGAGATTATAAGCTGACAAGGTCCTTGCAATCTGTGAGGTCAACCAAGGGTTGCCTCGCCTAAAAAATAAAAGAAATTTAAAAAAAGAAATAAATATATAGATGAATAAAAATGAGGACGCTTTCCTACACAATCTCTATACAGTGATGACATTCAGAAAATTTAACATCTTCATGCTATTATCTCATGTACTGTCCATATGCAAATTCTCTTGATTGTCTCAATATAATGTCCTTTAGCACGTCCTCATCCTGCTCAGGAACCCATCAAGGATCTTTTTTTGCATCTCCTTTAATATAGAACCATTCTCCAGACTTTTTCTTTCTTGCTTTCATGCCATTGGCATTTTTGAAAAGTCCAGGCCGTGTGATTTGCACAGTGTCACTCTGTTTGATTTATTTCCTCGTGACTAGATTCAGGTTCAATGTTTTCAGCAAGAACCTTGGTGTAGTGTTTTTCTCAGATGGGTTTTCCCTACTACTAGTGACATTAAATTGGGGGAAGGGTGTCTGCCAGTTTTTTTTCCATTGTAATGCATTAGTCTTTTAATATTCACCTCCACTTCATTTTTGCAGATGAATGGCCAGGTCCTCTGCTATTTTCCCTGGCACCCCATGGCTTCACATGGCTCAGCTAATGTTAGATCTTCTCTCTCCATCTGACTCTCCAAGGCTAATTGCCTACCCCTAGGGGGGATGAAGGCCAAACTTATCCCATGTCTCAGCTTTGTCCTGCATGGCTATTCAACAGAGAACTCATCCAAGGGCTCCAGCCAGAGTTCTGAGGAGGGACCATGGCAAAGTGGGTGTCAGGGAGATAGAGGAAAGAAGGTTACAGCCACCTGAGCCCTGAAAGTCTCCTGGAGGGGGTAGGTTATGTTTGGGGCCTGGGGGAGCACCATTTCTGCCTCAGGCTGTCCGGACCCATGACTCATAGGCAGGCCTCAGAGCTGTGGCAGGACATGATGTCAGCCTCCTCTACCAGCCAGCCTGGTCTAGGGGCTCAGCCAGGCCCTGGCTGGGCTCCCCAAAGAGACCACCTCCAGTCCAGTACTGAAAACATAAAGCCCAACCAGCTTTGCTCTTTCTCAAGATGTACGAATCTATTTAATAGAACAGAGTCAAATAAGCCCAGGGAATCATAGGCTCTATGCAAGGCCTAACAGATCCCCCAGGCTGGTGACTTCCAATGCAGCCCCTAAAGCAAGATGGGTAAGCACACAGGAAGACTGCTACTCAGCCTCCAGAATCAGCCAGCCCAGGCTCAATTTCCCATCACCTGTGTAACTCTAGGCAGGTTGCTTATCCTCTCTGGGCCTCAGTTTTCTCATCTGTCAAATGGAAATAATAATAATACTTACCGTACAGAGTCACCATAAAGATTGAATGAAATAACGCAGGTAAAGCTGCTGGCTCAGGGAGTGGCAGTCATACAAAACTAAATCTCATTGTGCTTTTCTTTATATTAGGTACGACTATTTTAGTTACAGCAGAAACTCACCTAAAGTAGCTATAGCAAATAAAAGTAAATGTTGTGGAAAGTGGGGAAAAGGGAGTTATCGAGAGGAGTCTGGGGGACCTCCTAGAATTCCAGACCAGGACCCAGGTGGCCTCAGGAAAAGGTGCAATCAGGGCTGTGAGCCCTGTGGGTGCCCAGCTGGACTCCCTCCTTCTCTTACCTTGCTGCTCTCTGCTGTCTCTTCCTCCTGCTCTCACAGGTCCAGTTCCATCCATTCCTCCAGTCAGCGGTGGAAAGCATGGCTGTCAACAGCTCCGAGGTTGGCATGGCCTCTGCATGTGAAGACAACCTGCTTTAGCTGAAGTCTTTTGGTTCCAAGTCCAAATTCTTCTCAGAAGACACTGATTGGCTCAGCTTGGGTCAGGTGCTCACCACCTGGAAAGAATAAACGTGGTAAATCCTACTAAAAGCCTGTGGCTAGTGATGGTGGGGAGCAGTTCCCACAAAGGGGGTGATGCTATGCAAAAAAAAAAACCAGTAGGCATCTCTTGCATGTTTTTGGTTCTACCCATCCAATCAGACCCTGGACCACCACCACCCCTCCACCTTCCATCACAGAAGAAAAGCAGAAGGGCACTCCTCTCTTCCAGGCTGGCTGATTTTATATACTTGTAGAAAAATATAGCCTCCCTTCCCCCAATACATCCAGAGCAGAAACCAAATCACAAAGCCTCTAATGTGCAGTTCTGCTTCTTAGTACGGGTGCTCTGAGTACAGTGTGTAAAAACACTGCATTTGAATTGGGTGGGCACACACACACACCTGAAAGCTGCTACCCCCTGAGCCACTCTCCACATTGATTGCCTGCCTGGTCCCTCTGAGTGTGTGAACAGTGGGTCCTACATGGTTGAGGGTTCATTCTAGCACTTTGGCCTTCTAGCCATCAAGGCTCATTGAGTACTGGCCTAGTTGGAGAGGCCAGGCTGATGGCTAGAATCTGCTAGAAGCTCTGACCAAGGACTGGGCCTACTGAAGCCAAAGAATATGAAAGTCTGGGAGGTGAGGGAAGGGGTCGCAAGTGGTCAAGGGCAGCTCTCTGAGAAGCTAAGGCCCCCCACAGGACCTTGTAGGCCAGGCATTACTTACTGCCTGTTGAAAGCCCAGAGCTGTGAAGATTCAGAAGAGATGTCACCTGGTGGGAATCCTTTCTTTCAGAAGTCTCCACAGTAACAGGTATGCATGCACAGCACCTGAGCTCTCTCAAAGGCCTTTCCCATCCATCATCTGCAATCCTTAACATACCTGTAAGAAGCAGACTGCCACTTTACAGACAGGGAAAACTGAGGCTTCAAGTCATATAGCATGTCCAAAGCTGAGCTGGAGTTCCGTGCCAAGACCTTGTGCCAAGTGAATCTCCCACTCTTCTGCCTCCAAACCCAGGGTGGGGGCTCAGAGTGCAGCCTTGCTTTCCATTGCGTGCTCCAAGATCCCTTTTCCTCACCAGCATTGACTGCATGGCCCTAGTCCACCACAACCAGCTTATTCGTGCAATGTGATCTGTAGGTGCACATGGGCCCTCATCCCTCAAGCATCTAGCTGTCAGGCCTCAGACTCCCAGAACTGGCAGGACAACTCTTTTCAAAGGCCCACTAAGAGCCCCACCTCCTAGCCTTTGTTTCAGCATTCCCCTGGCCTGGGATGCCCTCTCAGACCCCTGCTCCGGCTGTCTAGACCTAGGTCAGAAGCCTGATGATAGCTCTGGCCCTTCTCTCTGTGGCCCCTCCACTCAGCAGCCCCATCTCCTCAGCAATCACCAGCTCCTCAAGGTCAGAGAGCCACCCTGGCATTTCATTTTCTCCCATAAGGGCACTAGTAGGACAGAGTTTCCAAAGCAACAGGAGAGTTAGGAATGGGATATGTCTGCCTGGTGAGAGGCTGGTCTAAAGGCAAGTCCACAGAAGTAGCCAAGCTGAACCTCAAGGGAGAAGAGTGAAGATCCTTGAAGGCTGTATGGAGACAGAACCAGCCATTCCAAATGCTTCAAGTACACAAGCTATTCATTCTACTGGGAACATCTTTCCTAGCATCTATCTTTAGTGTGCATACTTGGCCAGTTATGACCTCTAGTGTCTGTTCCTCAAGTCCTCCTCAGTAACAGAACCCCCAGTTCTTAGCTAGCTGGTCACATGGCCACCCAAAATAAAGAATATGCTTCCCAGTCCCATTTGCAGTTAGGTTGGCCATGGGATGAAGCCTTGACAATAGCTTGTAAGTACAGTGTACAACTTTCAGGAGTATCCTTAAAAAGATAGGGTTGCTGGAGCTCTGGCAACTACCTTGCACCAGGAAGAAGCATGGATAGGAGGCCTCCTATCTTGGGGCAACAAGGTAGGAACAGCCTGGGTGCCTGTCACCGTGGATCACCTTATGTGCCATGGGCTCATAAGAAATCACCACCAGATTTCTACTTGAGCTAGAAATAAACTTCTATCTGGTTTAAGCAAATGTTGTTTTTCTATTTATATTTTCTTGTTTTGTGGTGGTGGTGGTTGTTGCTTTTACTCAGAGCCCAATATAAACCTAACTGAAAAAGCCAGCGAACACCTTGTCAGTCTTGAAAACACAGTTCAATTGTCACCTCCCTCAGGAAGCCTTCCTAATTCCCAGGCAGAATAAACTACTCCCAGACTTGACCATTCGCCTATTTTTATTGATAGCCCTCTGTTTTATACCTTACCTATTCAGGTGTCATCTATACCTCTAGTTTGTGATACTATGAGCTCCTTCAGGTCAAAAACACTGAAACATCCAGCTCAGAACCTCTGGGATCTGGTAATGGTTAGAGGTAGAGGAAGAGGAGGGGGAAGAGGAATGGAACAATAGGTAATATTTATTAAGAGCTTATGATGAATAAGGCACTATTTTATGAATTTGTATGTATTACCTCACTTAATCCTCATAGGAACTCTATAACATAAGCACAAGCATTAACTTCATTTTACAGATGAGGAAAGTGAGGCACAGAGTAAGTAAGTTGCTCAAGGTCAAAGGGCTAGAAATTGGCAGAGCTGGAATTTAAATCCCAGGAGTCTGACTCCAGAGTCCAAGCTCTTAGCCTGTCATTCTTTTCATAGGGGCTCCATTAGTTTGTCTTAGGAGTGCCTTCAAAATAGGATGTGGGGGGAGCACACAACTCTCTTCTCCTTCCTCAGCAAGAATAAAACAGGAGGAAAGCCCTTGCCAGTTGTCTGGCAACCATAGGAACCAGGGCTCAGGGCCTTCGAAGAGATTAGCGGTCCCAAGGACTCAGAACCTAGGCATCTGCCAGGCCCCCTGTTTCAGTTATCTACGCTGTGTGACATACCAACCTGCAACTTAGTGGCTTGAAATAACAGTGATTTACTACTTCTCATAGTTTTATGGGCCAGCTGGGTGGACCCTCTGCTCCATGTGGGATCAGCATGACTGTGACCAGCTGGGAGCTCAGCTGGGCTGAACCATCCGAGGGGAACCCCTCACATGCCTGCGTTATTGCTCCTTAATGCTCCTCTGTGTGGCCTGTCTTTCCACATGGTTCCTCATCAGTCTCTAGTCCATCCAAGCTTTTTTCCATGACAGGTGGCTTGAAAGAGAGAGAGAAAGAGAAAGAGGGAGAGAGAGAGAACTGGCTTGAAAGAGAGAAAGAGAAAGAGAAAGAGGGAGAGAGAGAGAGAGAGAAAGAGAGAGAGAAAGAGAGAGAGAAAGCAGAAGGCCCTAGGCCCTTTAAGACTAGACCTGGAACTGGCACAGAGTTACTTCTGCCTCATTTTCTTCTTCAAAGAAAGCCACAAGGCCAGTCAAGATTCAAGGGGGAGGGGAAACAGGTTCTCCTCTTGCTGTGAGGAGCATCATGTGGGTTCAGGTAGGGAGAAATTGTTGGCAACCACCTTTGGAGAAAATGTGCTATCCTACCTCACAAGATTTTAAGAGTGGGTCCAGAAGGACATGGCACCTGGGCAGATTGGTACAGGATAGATAAGATTCCCCCATGTCAGACAGACTGGTTTCAATCCTGCCTGGGCCACATCCTAACTATGTGGCCCTAGGAAGGTAGCCTCACCTCTCTGAGTCTCTAAGTCTCAGGGATACTAACCTCACAGGGCATAGTAAGGATTTAAGGCAGTGAAGGATAGGAGGTCTCTGAGAGGGGACATGGCATCCCAAGGTCACAGCCTCAGTACATGGTGACATGGCTTTGGAACCTAATCAGGTTCCAAAGGTCATGGCCTCCCCAGCTTCAAAGGCCTATCCTAGAGAAGCTTTAGAAATGGATTCCTTGGCTGTAATGCTAGGGAAGGCTCTGGTGATACACAAGTTCCAACCATCCTTGTTCTAGAGAAAAACTGTCGAGGTGGGTCTGGATTTCCATGTGGAGGATAAGCAAAACCTCCACGGGGATCAGAATAGAGCAGGGAAGCGGGAGTGGAGCACGAAGGATGAACCCAATGTACAGGACTTGGCACATGATTAGATGAAAGAACAAAAATCAACCGTCCTTGTCTCAGTTGGTCCGAACTGTTATAATAAAATATCATAGACTAGAGGACTTAAAACCAAAAGAAATTCATTTCTGTTTTGAAGGCTGAAAGTCTGAGATCAGGGTGCCAGCATGGCCAGGCTCTGATGAGGGCCTTCTTCTGGGTTACAGACCGTCAACTTCTCATTGTATCCCCAGATGGCAGAGAGTGAGACAGCTCTCTGGGGCCACTTTTATTAGGACACTAATCCCATTTATGAGGGCTCCACTGCCATGACCTAATCACCTCCCAAATGTTCCACCTCCTAATACCATCACAGTGAGGATCAGGAATTCAATATACGAATTTTGAGGAGACATGGTCATTAAGTACATTATAAGTACATTATACTTCCTCATAGCTTACCAGCTTTCAGCAGCTCCCTGTTGCCCGCTTGGAGACCCAAAGCTCTTGAGCCTGGCCCTCAGGCCTTGCCATTATCAGGCTCCTTGATGGAGCAGTCTAGTCTCATTTCCCACATTGCCCTCTTACCATGCCCTGGTCATACTGGGTGACTTTCTCCAAACATGCCTTGTGGTAGTTCACCTCCATGCCTGTGCCTGCTTCATCTGCCTGCAACACCTCTGACTTCTCCTTCAAGATTCAGCTCTGTGTTACTCTGTGTTTCCTGACTCTCAGCTCAGAATTCATTGCTCTTCCCTGCTTTGAGCGGAACTCCCACAGAGCCCTTATCACCTGAAATCTACTGTCAGATTGACTGTGTACACGTCTGCTTCTGCCATCGACTGCCCTAATCGTGCCACATAACAAATAAGCCAAGTTCAGTGGCAAATACTGATCTATCTTATAAGTTTGTGGGGTTCAGCTGATCTGGACTGGGGTCTCTTGCTGGGATGATGAGGGTGACTCAGCTCAGGACCACATCTAGTCATTCAGCAAGCTGGCT